TTTACCAGGGCACTGGGCTCTTTGCTTTTTTTTAAAGCAACTTTTGTGTACTTAATAACCCATTCAAAGTGGATAATTTTTAATTTCTTTGTTGCACCCAAGACCTTTAGCTCTATCACTTTGCTATACCCCTAGTAACCTCCCTTAATAATATACACATGGTATTTTAGGTATTACACAGTCTTAATTGAGAACATTTTATCTCCTCTAAAACAAGTCATGCTCTTCCCGTTAGCATTCATTATCTATTCATTTTCATTTCCCCCATCCTAAAACAATTGCTGACCTTTTTTTCTGAATTGACCTATTCTGGACATATAACATGTGGTCTTTTGGGGGCTGGGTTCTTTCATTTAACATGGTTTTCAAGGTTCATTGATGTTGTTACATATATCAGGCTTTAATAACTTTGTGTAACTGAGTAGTAGTTCCTTGTATTGGATGGACCACATTTATCCATTCATCAGTGGGGCATTTGGGTTCGCACTTTTTTGCTTAGAGATAATTTAGCTGTGAACATGTGTGACAGTTGACACCTAGTGTTAACTGGATAAGTTGCTAGTTTGATGAAGGGTTTCAGCAGGGACCAAGGTCTTTACTTTGTAAACACCCTCATCTTGTGCAAGGGGAGGACAGGGAGATGGTGCAACTGCTATGCCCACCCTAGTGGGTGCCAGTCTACTTACAGTATAAAGGAGAAAAAGAGGCTTGGTCTCCCCCTTTGACTCATGCTGCTTTGCTGCCTGGAAGTATCACCCTCAGGGGTGCCAGGCCACCTTGCTTTGGGGCCAGCTGATTATGGACTGAAACCTCCACTAACTGTGCTGAATGAACTTTTCATTGTTTAATTTTTGGGTGTCGAGTATTTTGTCCTCAGCAATGAGAGAAAAATAACCAGGGCAACATGTGTATATAGGTTTTTGTATGAGCATGTATTTTCATTTCTCTCGGCTGTATATCTAGGAGTAACTCCTTAACTTGATGTGTGGTGGTAGATGAGTATGAACTGGGGATTGAACCCAGGGCCTTGCATGTGCTAATCATGTGCTCTACCTCTAAGCCACACTACCAGTTTCTCTGCTTAACTTTCTGAAGAACTATGGAGCTGTTTCCTAAAGCGGATGCCTCCTTTTATTTTTCCACAAGCAATGTGGTTCCAATTTCCCTATATTTTTGCTGACTCATTATTGTTGGTCTTTGACTATAGACACCTTAATGCAGCTGAAATTACTTTTTTTTAAAAGCAGAGGTGGGGGGTAGGGGTACTGGGAATCAAACTCAGGACCTTGCACTTGCCAGCAGGCACGGTGCCGCTGAGCTATGTACCCGGCCCTGAAATTACCATTTTTATGACAATATTTTGTGCTAATATTGTTTAGACAAGATATCATGCCTATATTCTGTATTTTGAGTAACAATATACAATGTATCAACTATTGTAAATGTCCTACTAACCTGTTTTGAAACTCGGGTTTTATCTTTTTTTTTTTTTTCCTTTAAAATTAAAAAAAAAAGCTTTACAGTTCCCAAATAGTTACAATATTTAGCATCTTGTATATACTGTGTATTTTTTGAAGAAATGTCTTATTTGGGTCCACTGCTAGCTTTTTAATTGTTATTTTTTTTTATTTTATTTTTTGTACCAGGGATTGAACTCACAACTTAGTGCTTGCTAGGCAGATGCTTACAACACTGAGCTAAATCCCCGGCCCTGTCTTTATTCTTAAGTTGTAGGCCTTCATAGTAATATTCTGTATATGAGTCCTTTATCAGATTTTTTTTTACAAGTTTTTTCCTCATTGTTTGGATTGTCTTTTTACTTGGTGTTGTTTGTAGCAGAGTTGCAAGTTTTAAATTTTGATGACATCTAACTTACTGTATAGAGTGGATTGTACTTTTGTCTAGTTTAATTTGGAGAGACATTTACTTAGTTGGTTTTGTGCCACCAGACCTCTTGCATAAATATAATTTTATAAAATATTCCAGTTCTTTCATTCTATTTTATATGGTTTTCTACAGATGGATCATTTTCAGTTATACGAATTGTACTGTATTTCAAAGTAGTTTTTTTTTTGCAGTATATTTTCTCAGAGAAACTGCTTTAAGTATAATAAGATATTCAGGCCAATCTTTAAAAAAAGGTAACTTTGAGTTGGGCACAGTGGTACATGTCTGTGATTCCAGTACGTGGGAGGCCGAGACAGGAAGATCAAGAGTTTGAAGTCAGGATGGGTTACAGAGTTCAAGGGGGTATTGGCTATAGTGAGGCCTTGTCTCAAAAAAGTTGTTTGATCCCTAAGTATCTGGCATAGTTTATTATTTCAGTAGAAAATAATAGAATGTAACTTATGTTCTGGTAGTTAAGGAAAGAATACAAACATAGTTGAAAACTTAGTGTTACATATTTTTGTTTTGGGGGTTATTTCAAAGGAGATGTTTTATAGTTCCAGGAATTGAATCCAGGGCTTTGTATTATCCTGAGCATGTGCTCTGCCATTACCACCCTGACTTTGCTTTTTTTTTTTAATTTTATTTTATTTTATTTTAAAGAGAAGAAAACAGAAAAATCAAGAAGCAAATAAGTTTTTTTAAAAAGGCAAAACGACAACAATAACTATAGATTTTCAAAACAAGACAATAGGACTTTAAAAAACGGTTGTTATATTGCGTATTGTTATCTTTAAAACAGTTGCTCAGTTACCAGATACAGGAAAACCAAAGAGTTAAGACAAGACAGTACATTGGATTCCCCCCCAAAAAGAAGGAAATCCATCACAGTTGTTATAATGCATATTGTTGTCTTCCAAATAGATGCTCAGACTACCAGCTTTAGGCCTACAATACAAAAATTAAGCTTTTTTTTTTTAAACTTTAGTTGCTGTCATCTCAGCCTGACTGCCTTGAATCAGCCCTTTGCTTGTGTTGAGGGAAGAGGGATGCTCTTCTTGTCTCCCAGCTGCTCACTGGCTAGCTCACAGAAAGGCCTGGTTTGGCTTCTTGATGTCTTCCTGCTCCCCAGGGCAGCACCCTGACTTCATATTTTTGTTTATGTGTTTTGTAGTTCTTAGAATGGAACTCAGAGCCTTGTATGTACTAGGCCAGTTTGCTACCACTAAGCCACACCTCCCGCTTCTTAGTATTTTTGAGTCTATAGGCATTTGTTTACTTGTCACTTGTTATAAGTTTATTACTATAGCATAGGGTTTTTTGTTTTGTTTCACTTTTGATAAAAGGTCTCATTTTTTCAGGCTGGCCTTGAACTGTGTAGCCCAGGCTGGCCTGGAACTCACAGCAGTCCTCTTGTTAGGCAGCATCCTGAATGCTGGGATTATAGGCATGTACCACCACACCCAGCTATAGCTCTTAATAATAGTCACTAAAATTAAAACCTGAAAATTGTATACAAAAAGAATTGAAAAAGCACTGGCAAGTTTGTTTCTGTTAATCTGACAAAAGTCAGGAAAAGAAGAAATTAAAGCAGAATTTTCTCTCAAATAGGAAATTGTTGCCTGAACCTCAGTAAGCCAAAAATAAGGTTGAGAGAAGAAAAGAAAGGAGGCAGAAGGAGAGGAAAGAAGAGCCTGAATAAAGAAGCTTTGTCTATGGGGCTGGGGATTTAGCTCAGCAGCATAAGCACCTGCCTTGCAAGCAGGCAGTCATGAGTTTGATCCCTGGTACCAATAAAAAGGAAAAAGACCAAAAAAAAAAAAAAAAAAAAAAAAACTTTGTCTAGATTTAGTGGTGCCTGCCTGTAATACCAGCACTTTGAAAGGCTGAGGCAGGATAGCAAATTCAAGCCCATTCCAGACAGTTTGGCAACCATTTAGCGAGATCCTATGTCAAAAAAATTTTTTTTAAAAAAGGGTTAGAGACCTAGCTTAGTCAAAGGACCTGAGTTGTATCCCCAATACCAAAAAAAGGAGGGGGCGGAGTTTGGAAGTATGGGTATAAAAAATTATGGAGAATGTTTGTTAAATATAGAAAGAATAAGACAGATTTTGGGTTGATCATGTTGTCTGCTAATGAGCGTATCATTTAGCATTGTTCTGAGCATATACCAGCAAGTGGTAAGGCACTAATAAACATAGCATAAAATTAGTAAATTTTAACACAAAGGCAAAGCAAATTTGAAAATGTTAAGAGCACTCTTCTTACTATCCAGCTAGGATTTGAAGTAGGTAGAGAAACCATCAAGTGTATTATGAGAAGCCGCAGTGCCATATGAGAGATAGCTGTAGAGAAAACTGCTGCTTCTCAAGCAGGGCCACAATTTTGCTTAAAGCATTGTGTGCTCCATGCCTGTAATCCCAGCATTAGGGGCTAAGCCACAAAGATTATTATGAGTTCAAGGCCAGCCTGAATTGCATAGCCAGACCCTGTCTTAAAAGACCAAAAAAAAAAAAAGTTAGAAGGGAGAATCTTGACTATGCTAATTTGACCATTGCACACTGTATACAGATAGTTGAATTATCACATTATACCCTGTAAATATATACCATTCATTTAAAAAGTAAAGCTAGATAATTTGGCTGCACACTGCTGTTTTCACTACCTTTTCCTGCTTATGAATTGCTAGGTTTTTGTTACCAGTCTTCAGTATTCATATTACTGTGGCTCTATCTTTTTAAAAGTAAGCCTGTGGGGGATGGGAGTATGGCTGGTGAGAGCTCTGGCCTGACTCCTCCAGGCGATGGGCTTGATCAGGGGTAGAGGAATAAGCATGTATAAAATGATTATTTCTTAAGTTACAAATTACTGCGGGGCGTGGTGGGTCACGGGTGTAATCCCAGCACTCTGGGAGGCTGAGCTCAAAGCCAGCCTGAACTGCATAGTGAGACCCTGTCTCAAAAAAAGACAAAAAAAGTTACAAGTTACTGTACTTAAACTGTCCTCCTTTAAGTCTTTTTCCTTTTCTGAAGTTTATTTATATCTGAAAAAAGTATATGAAAGAACATAACACTGTTTTACAATAATATAATGAATGCCTTTCTGTTTCATAGGTTCTCTGCTTTTAGAATCTAAAATCAATCCTAACACTGCATACCAGAAGCAACAGGTAAAAATTTGAAGATGTATTTTATCTGCATGTTGTCCTTCCAATTTGGTAATTAAATGAAAATTTAGGGTCTAATTCCTTATGTGATAAATTTATAGCAAAGTGCAGCATATTTTACCAGTGTAATTCTATAAAAAGGATTTCTGCCAGTCTCTAGTGTTTAAATGTTACTTGGGATGTGAGGAGTCTGGGAATTAAATCTAACGCCTTTTGCTTGCTAAGTAAGCATGTACCCAGCCACTGAGCTACATCCCCCACTGCAGTGAATTTAAATTGCAAAACCCCAGTTTGTCTCACATTAGGCAGTGTAAAGTTGCCTAGTGTGAAAAATAGGCTTCTGAGTGCAGTGGTGAATAGTTGTAATCTCTCAGCACTCAGGAGGCTGAATCAGAAGGGTAGCCAGTTGAGGCCAGTTTGGGCTGTACAGCAGTGTGTAAGATGAACGTTAGCCTGGATTACTACCACTGCCTCATCTTGGGAGAAAAAAAATTTTTTTGTCTGAATAGGAGCAAAGCAACTAGAAGTTTGCTGCTGCTAAACTATAAACACTTCTGTGAAAGTTAACAGCTTACGACTTTGCCCCAAGATTCATTCAAGTAGGTGTCATTTCAGCCAGTCAGTTCATGTATTAAATAAATGTGATAAAATTGTTACTTATAAAAGTAACAAAAATGCAATTTTTGGTTATCTTGTGTTTAAATAATTGGACTGCTGTGTGTTTTAAAAACCTCTGTCAAGATAAGTGCTCATATATTACAGATTTAGCCAGTGTATTTCAATTAATGGACCTCATGTACTTTGACAAAAAACTCACGTTGACAATAGAGGAAAGAAGTTCTATTAATCCTATTGCCTATTATGCTCAAGTTATATATGCTATGATTTTATGGCATTTTAATGAAAATAAAATATACTACATGTTCTCATACGGTTTTTATACATTGGGCAAACATTCTCCTTAAGGGAAACATTGTTTTCATTTTATAGATAGGACAAAATGAAGTATAAAAGGTGATTGGTAATTACCAACAAGGATATTGGAAAAAGTTAAAATGAGCAATGCTCTCAATTCCTGTTGCTTTTATTCATTTGCCTTATACTTCAGAGTAGTGTGTAATAATGTGTGTTAATCATTTCTTCTTTTTGTTTCTTAATCCAAAGGACACTCTGATTGTATGGTCTGAAGCAGAAAATTATGACTTGGCCCTTAGCTTTCAAGAAAAAGCTGGATGTGATGAGATTTGGGAGAAAATATGTCAGGTAATTTTAAAAATAGAAAATGAACATGCTCTGCTTAAAATATTTTGGTTTTTGCAGTACTTTGAACCAATACCCCAAAATTTAAATTTCAGGCAGCTACTTTAAATTCACCGTTGTCTATGAAACGTTTGACTTAAAGGAAAGCTGTCATTTTTTTGGACTCCATATTATTCAGCCTAGACTTTTCTCTAAACTAGAGTTGTATATGCTGTTGCTATTGCCTTTGTAAGGGTTCCCTTTTGAGTGTTCACTGACATCTCAAATTTTATAGTGCATGTCAAACATGGTCTTCTCAGCTAGAGCTATTCATTCTCCTGCTACCCTGATCTTGGTAAATGCAATCTGGTTGCTGGAACCAGAAATCTGTTGGTCATGCTCATTTCTTATCACTCATCCCATCCCTCAGAACTTAATCTTGGACCTATTCGTTTGTCTTTCTTTTATCCACTGTTAAGCTACCATCATTTCTTGCCTCATATATTGGTTTTATATTGACTGATTCCCAAATTCACATCATAGGAATGACATTTTTAAAAAATAAAAAAAATGAGTATAATCACGTAATTTCGCCACATGGCTCTTGAAATAAAACCCTCTTTGCACTAGTCTTAACAGTATGGTTCTTGACTAGTCAATCTCACCTTGTCTCTAAGCTTGAATGTTCTTAATTGGAGTTTCCCTGCTGACTCGGGTACCTCATTCTATAATGTAATCTTTTGTGACTGCATTTTTTTTTTAATGGACTCACATGACTAAAGTGAAGTCATTTTTTAGGTCATTTTTCCTAGGGAGGATTTCTCCATCTCTACATTTATTTTGGCTAGAGAATGATTTTAAAATTCATTAGTTTTCAAAGTGTGTTCCTCAAATCCAGCAGTAGGGGCATGACCTGAGAACTGCTGAATTTGGGAATTCTGTTACCCAACCCCTATTCCCCCACCAGACCTACTAGATCAGAAACTAAGGTCCTATAACTACGTCTGATCTCTAGGTCAGACTTGGAAAAGAGCAAGAGAGTACAGTAAATATTTTAAGTTCTGCATGCTATCTAATCTCACAGTTGTTCAGCTCTGCTGTTCAGATGTAGCCATAATGCATGTATGAATGGGTGTGGCTGGCTTGTAGTGAAGGCTTTATTTACAAAAACGAGATGGACTGAATTTGGCTATCATTTGTCAACCTCTGCTTTTGCTGATTCTTGAAGTTTAAGAGCCACTGCCTTAGTAAAAGCTCCAGTGTCCTTGAGGCATGGTTTTTCCTTAATTTGTAGAATTTAATTTTGCAATACAGTCTACTCACCTGTTTATAAATTAATCTGCCTGTAAGTAGTTTCTTTCCTTCCCTAGAACATAAAGGACTTAACGTTTATATTAAAATGCCTTTCTTTGTAAGGGGGTGGAGGTGATGCAGGGTCTCGCTCTATAGCTCAGGCTAGCCTTGGACTCACTGTATATTCCAGACTGGCCTGGAACTCTTAGTGATCAGCCTGCTTCAGCCTTCTAAGTGCTGGGGTTGTACACATTCACCTTCATGCCCTACTGAATGCTTTCTTTTTTTATTTTTTCTTTGCTTTCTGTCCTGCATCTAGTTTTATTACATATTCCTCTAAATTTTGTCCTGTGGCATTTTTCCACAGAAAGAGATGAGATTAATGAGTTCAGGCTATGCTAAAAGCATCCATTATTCAGACAAATCTTTGTTTTGTTTTCTAGGTGGGTTGGTTTGTATTTGAGACAAGGTCTTACTGTGTAGTTCAGGCCAGCCTTGAACTCAATTGTATAGCCCAGGTTGGCTCAAATTCATGGCAATCCTCCTGCTTCAGCCTCCCTAAGTGCTGAAATTATAGGCGTTCACCAGCACACCTGCATTCAGACAAATCTTGTTATCTTTTATCTTTCTGAGTTGAATAGTTGCACCTTAGATACAGTCTTCTATTTGGCCAATGTGTAACTCAGATCCAACTCTAAATCTGTAACTGTCATGCCTAGGACTGTCTCCCTTAATACTATGTGATCTTTCCTTTCCTTAGTCTTAAATAGCATAAATTTTTCAGTTATCTTTATTAGGAGTACAGGTAGTACAGTATTCACATGCTTTTCCTATAATCTCCAGTTACATGTAGGAAGCACTGGGTGTTTTATGTTCTTACCTGATCTTTTCCTTCAGCTGTTACACAGTTTGTGTTCAGAGTGTCATTTCTCAGTGTGTATGGATCACCTCTTGTACCTAATCATTTTCTGGATCCTGGCTCACTTTTGGGCAGTTAGTACATTGTGCTTTCTGAGATCATCTCATGTTTATCTGTTTCTTGAGCCCCATTCACCATTTTCTGATACACAAAACAGCTAAAAATTGTTTTTTAAGTACTCTGTGTGATAGCAGGTGCTAAGTTTGAACTCAAGACATTCTTGTTACTTATCTCTTAATTTGGTTTATGTATCAAAACCTAACATTTTGCTATGAGTAAAACCATGGCTTTTAGATGTTAATAATGTAAGGTTTTAATAAGAACATATGTAATTTAAAAAAAAAAAAAAAAAAGAATACATGTAATCAGCAGGTTCAGAGCCAACTTGAAACTGCCAGACTGTGATGCTGTGTAGCCTCCTTTTAGTAGTGCTGCACACTGAGGAAAAGTCAGGACCGTTTCACATTGCATCGTATTTTGAGACAAATATTCTAAACTGTCTTGCTTTGAAGCATCCACCAACAGTATCTCTTAATCATCCTAAGCATTTTCAGTTTCTTGGATGTTTCATATAAGGTCCAATTTTCCCACCCCTTTACTATTCTCTGACCTTTTGGGCTTCTTTAGTTGCCAAGAGTCCCAAATTCTAGGACCAGGCTGGGGATTTAGCTTAGTGACGTAAGTGCCTGACTGGCAAGCGCAAGATCGTGAATTCAATCTCTGGTACCAAAAGAAAAGAAAAAAACTACCAAATTCTAGGGCCAAGATGGCAAAAACTCATTTCATTTCAGAAAGTGCCCTTGGCTTTTTCCAATGAAGATTTCTAGACCATCCTTTTACATTTAGAATTTTTACAGTGACAAATTTGGGATATATAACATTTTAGGACTTTTAGATAATAATAAAGTTTACAGATTTGGTGTACAGAAGGAACTTTTTCAGTTCAGCAGATAATCTTAGTAGATACTGTCACTACATATAGATTGTACTTCATATGTGGCTCATTTTTGTATGGGTATACTTGTATCCTATCAGGTTTTGTAGGGAGATTTTTTTGTTTGTTTTGGTTTTGGGGTATGTGTGTGTGTGAATTGAACCCAGGTCCTTCTCACTAAGCTGCATCCTTGGAATACCTTCCCCCGGCCCAGCTTTCTTTTGAGAAAATTGCTAAAATTGCCCATGTGGGACTCACAATTGCTGTTCTTCTCCCTCAGCCTCCTAGAGGCCTGGGATTACAGATGTGCACTGCTGCATCCAGCTCCACCCAGTTTTTCTTAATATGAGAGCTATCTGGTAGCGTTTATAGCAAGTCTTTGGCCTTTGGATTAGTTGATATTAAGAATTTTCCTTATTTACAAATATGTATTTACTATGATCACAGCATTATGATGTGTTTGAATTTTATTTAAGTATTGAAGACTTTGGTGGTTTGGGCTATCCTGTAGGACAGTCTCAAGAGTATTTCTGAGATTTCCTCTTGGGTCTTGAAAATCTCCTTTCGCTGGGCATGGATAGGAGATGGTGAGTAGATATTTTGACAGCAGACTCTGTTATGGGTTCTGTGAGGGACAATTTAACAGTCTTAATTGGTTGAACCTATCCAAAGAAGTTGCTGTTGTTTGACAACCTTGTACTTCGGAAAAAGTTTACTGCATCTCTGAACTTTGAATTAACTTCCTTAACGTTGAGCGTATATGTTTATTTGGGGAAAAGTAACAGAGAAAGATAGTTGTATCAAATTTGAAAAAAAGTTCTAAAATTAAAAGGTTAACCTTTTTTTTTTTTCTTGTGACATTTCTTATATTCCTCTAAGAATAACATTGAGGCTGGGTTGTTTTGTTTTGTTTTTTAATTGGTACCGGGGATCGAACTTATAACCATTTGCTTATAAGGCAGGTGCTTATGCCACTGAGCTAAATCCCCAGGCCCTTGGGTTGGTTATTTGAGACCAGATCTTACTATGGAGCCCAGGCTGTCCTCAACTCATAGTAATCCTGCCTCCGCCTCCTCAATGCTAGGATGACAGGCATGCACCACCATGCCTTGCTAGTTTGCTGGGTTTTGCTGTTTTGTTTTTATTGTTTTGTTGATACAGGGTCTCACTATGTAGTTGAAATTGTCCTTGAACTCACTGTGTAGCCCAGGCTTCCTCAAACTCTGCAGTCTTCCTACCTCTGCCTCTCCAGGATTCCAGGTGTATACCACCACACTCAGCTTGGTTTATGTTTTGTCAACTACCACAAATTCTTTCTCATAGGTTCAAGGAAAGGACCCTTCAGTGGACATCACTCAGGACCTTGTGGATGAATCTGAAGAGGAAAGATTTGATGATATGTCATCACCAGGTTTAGAATTGCCATCTTGTGAATTAAATCGCCTCGAGGAAATTGCTGAACTTGTGGCATCATCTTTACCTTCCCCCCTCCGTCGCGAGAAACTTGCACTAGCACTGGAAAATGAGGGTTATATTAAAAAGCTCTTAGAGCTTTTTCATGTGTGTGAGGACTTGGAAAATATCGAAGGACTGCACCACTTGTATGAAATTATCAAAGGCATCTTCCTCTTGAATCGAACTGCTCTTTTTGAGGTTATGTTCTCTGAAGAATGCATAATGGACGTCATAGGATGTTTAGAATATGATCCTGCTTTGTCACAACCACGAAAACACAGGGAGTTTCTAACAAAAACAGCCAAGTTTAAAGAAGTAATTCCCATATCAGATCCTGAGTTGAAACAAAAAATTCATCAGACATACAGAGTTCAGTATATACAAGATATGGTTCTCCCGACCCCTTCAGTCTTTGAAGAAAATATGTTGTCAACACTTCATTCTTTTATCTTTTTTAATAAGGTAGAAATTGTTGGTATGTTACAGGTAAGTTAACTCATTCTTTTTCCTACTTAAAAAGGTACCTGCTTGATTGATTCCATTTAAAATGTTACCTTAAGCAGATTTTTTTTTTTTTTTTTTGGTCTTTTTCCTTTTTATTGGTACTGGGGATCGAACTCAACGACTGCCTGCTTGCAAGGCAGGCGCTTATGCCGCTGAGCTAAATCCCCAGCTCCCTAGCAGAAAAAAATTTTTAAGTCTTCAAATTGTTTTAGTTTTGTTAAAGTTTAAAGGTAAGTGTTGATATTGCAAGAATTTATGATAAATAATAGTACTCTGAGACCAGAAAGTTGTTATGGTTAGATATGGAATGTAAGTTTGATAAGGAAATCTAGCTTGGGGCAAAGGATATATCTGGTGGCAGAATTTTTGTTTAGCGTGCATGAGTTCAGATCCCAGCATTGGCAAAATGAAAAAATAATGGGGGAAAAAACCCTAAAGAAATTATAGTGGGATGATTGATATTAATGAAATTTGAGACACATTAATCTATTGTATTCTGTCATACAGTAGATTGGGAGAGAAAAAAATAAAAGAGAAGCCAGGAAAATGTCATTAAATAAACTGTATAGAATTTATGGGGATTCTGGGTAATGATACATTGAAGGCCCAGGTTTAGGGTCATGAGAACCTAACAGGAGGCAAAGTCTGTATGCATCCGTACCAAAAGACTTGTTTCTATAATGTGTGAGAGAGTGGGAAATTAAACAAGCAGCTCTTTCACTTTAATAGTTGCTGTGTCTGAGACAGTTTTCTGTTTCCTCATCTGAAGGATGGAAATCTTAGTGCTTTACTCTATAAAATTGAAATCCAGTGGAATCTTCCATGTAAGGTGTTAAATTCAGCAGCAGTTTAAAAAAGTATCTATTGATTATTGCTTATTACCACACTTCAAATTCTTTTTGTATAGTTTGTCCAGTCTCTCAGATCTGTTAATAGGGTGCTTGTTTCCGAATTACATCCTATAGTAATCAACGTTTCTGAGAACTGGCCAGTTGTCTGTGTAGTAACCTCAAAACTCAGTCATCCCATAGTGTTTAAATTGGTGTATTTTAACTGAAAAGATAATATGTGCACTGTAAAGAAATTGTTATTATGAACCCCTCTGCTGTGGTTTGTGTTTCTATAATATGCATGTTATTGTAAGATTAACAGGTAAGTGATGACTTGGAAGATAATTTGAGACTTCAGGACTACAAATAAAAAACATGAAATTTTGGATTTGTTAAACATAGAGAAGAGAGGACTGGGGAGTTAGTTAGCTCAGTGGCTTATGCGCTTGCATGGCAAGCGTGAGGTCGTGAATTCAATTCCAGTAAAGAGAGAGAGAGACAGACAGAGACAAGGAGACAAATAAATGTCAGAGCTGCTTCCTGGCATTTATTACAAGTAAGGCTGTATGTCTAATTTGTGTTCTGTTTTTAAAAATCTCTACATTGTCCTTGTTTTTTCATTCAAATGTTACATATATGTTAAGCATTCCTTATTGGAAATGCTAAGGTTAAGAAATGTTTCGGATTTCAGAGTTTTTCAGATTGCATAAACTTTGCAGGTTGAACATATGTAGTCCAAAGATTTGAAATAAAAAGTACCCTAAACTCCAAAAAATTTTGTATCACATGAGTGCTTAAAAAGTTTAGAGTCTTCAGGTTTTTGATGCTTTAACTTACCATTCATTTTCCTAAAAGTAAAAATAATTCCATTTCAAGTTGATTAATTTGACACTTTCAATTCATTTAAGAGAGACATATAAACATAATATAGGCAATACAATCTGTAAATATAGTAGCGATCCTATGGAGAGAACACTGGTTAGATAAGAACAGAGGGAGGGGGCTCGTACCAATTTCTGTTAATGTTTTGTAAGGAACTGGCAGTTGCAGAGCCTCATTCTGTCGTCTAGTTTTGATTTCTAGTTTCCATGAATGATCCTGAGTTGTACTAACCTTTTCTTTAGTTCCGTGTGATCCTATGGATTTGAAAGTTCAATATGGATTTGTTACTTCTATTTTGTTGGTTTTCATATGAGTAAAAAATGCCAGTTTTACTTACTAAGTACAAATAATTTCTAAGTTCATTCTTTGTTTCCCTGCAGTATCCTCTATAAAATGCTAGCTGTCAATTGTGCTACTGTTTCTCTTGATACTCAGCCCTTATTTCCAAAATACTATGAAAGCAAGAACATTTTTGAAATATAGCCTAAATGAAATATTGTTACACTGTGTTAGATATGTCTTGAAATTGGATGCCATGTGATAACAAGCACATGGTCAGAGCTCCATGTAATTATATATATGGTATATTCGTGTATTTTAGAAAAAGAGGTAAGAATCAGCAACTAACTTAATGGCATACAGAAAATGTTCCTTAAATAGCTACAAGAGTGAATATGAAGCTTATGGCAGGAAGTTTCATACTTGTGTGTCTAGACTCCAGCAGATGTGGGGCTGAGGTAGTGTTGAATGTACTTCTAGCTGAGGTGGTGCAGAACAAATACACTAACAAAGTTTTGCTAAAACATCGTGATAAAGTCAGGGGTTTAGCTGAGCAGCACAAACGTTTGCTTAGCAAGTGTGAGGTCATGAGTTCAATCCCTGGCACCAAAAAAAAAAAGTTACAAGGAAAATTGAACAGGCAACCGGGAAGGCTTTATGTTAATTAATTGGATTTGGGTAAATATATGGGTTGTGGGTAGTTTCTTAATCTGTTGCCAAGGCAGGACTCAAACTTGGAATCCTTCTCTTGAGCCTTTCAAGCGTTAGGAATACAAGTGTATGCAACCCCACTCTCCTCATTTTCTGTACCTTTAAAACCTAAAGAAGCAGCCAAGCATGTTGGCACATGATTATAGTTCCAGCTACTTAAGAGCCTGAGGTAGGAGGAGCACAAGTTTGAGGCCACCATGGGCAACTTAGCAAGATCTTGTTTGAAAATAAAAAAAAAGAGATGGAGATGTAGCTGAGTAGTAAAAGGTACCATGAGGCCCTGGGTTCAATTTCTAGAAAAGAGAGGCAGTGAAAAAAGCTTTATCTTTGTCCTAATTTGAATATTGTAGAACTTTAACTTCTAAAAATTATGTTTGTTTATAAAAATGGATTGGCAAACTGAGGCCATGCCATGCCTTCTGTTTAAAAAATAAAGTTTTATTGGAATACAGCCATCCTCATTCATTTGCATAATATTGTCTGACTGCTTTCAGGCTGTAATAGCAGAGTTGAGTAATTGTACTGAAAACCACTTTGGCCCTGCAAAGCTAAAATATTTACTGTCTGCCACTGAAGTAGTCTTAGGAAACAGAACTTTGCCAAAATGTATAAATAACGTTAGTGATAGGAGTCTCCAATATGTCTTTTTAATGGTTTGTTTTTTCTTTCTCTTTGATAAAACAGCATTGCTTTTCTTTCCTTTTTCTAGTTACAACAATTTGTATCTTAGAGCATACTGGAATTAAATTTTTATACACTTAGCCACTAGCATAATTAAATTTGCCCTTTATTTCACAGGAAGATGAAAAATTTCTGACAGATTTGTTTGCACAACTAACAGATGAAGCAACAGATGAGGAAAAACGACAAGAATTGGTAAGAAATTAAATGTTACCATAAGCATAAGAAAAAAGCAAAAATTTGATATTTGCTGTTTTCCCTTAATCTCAGGTTAACTTGTTAACAGTTACCTTTTTCTTAATTTCAGGTTAACTTTCTGAAAGAATTTTGTGCATTTTCTCAGACGCTGCAACCTCAAAACAGAGATGCTTTTTTCAAGACTTTGTCAAATATGGGCATATTACCAGCTTTAGAAGTCATCCTTGTAAGTCTGTTTCTCCTCACTTTCAATTTTCATTTTTTAAATTACATTTAATAGTAGTATTTACTATTGTGTATTTCATAAAGCTAAAGAAACTGTTAAGTTCTGTATTTTTCTATTTACATGAGAATAAGTGCTTTTTCTCTGCAGGGCATGGATGATACACAGGTGCGAAGTGCTGCTACTGATATATTCTCATACTTGGTTGAATATAATCCATCCATGGTACGAGAGTTTGTCATGCAGGAGGCACAACAGAATGATGATGTAAGTAAGAAGTTAACAGAGCAAAAAATAACCAGCAAGGTAAATATTATTTGCACTAATAGTAAGTATTTATACTGGAGCTATAGCTGTATTGTTTTTCATTTTTAAGATTTAAATTATTGCCTTTGGGGAATGCTATCATATCGCATTTATTGTCCCCCTAAATGTGGCTCTTATTTTATAAACCTTAATTGCCTTACAGCAACAATTTGTTAAGTTTCTGTCAAATTTTTGACATTCTTTTTTAATTCTATGGTTAACTTGAAAAACTGTCTTAATTAACTTAATTCATCTCCACATGTGGGATTATAAGTAACTACCCTAGAGAAGTATTGGCTTTGCTAGGAATAAAAATAACTGAACCATCAAGATTGAAGACATGAAGTACAGTTCTTGAAAAGTATTTATTTAGGAGCTATTTCTAACGATAAAGAATAAGCCATTGTCTTGTTCATACATACACATACATACTACCATTTATGAGAAACTCTAGTACACAAATCAGCTCCAAAGTAACTTTATATCCTGGTAAGGTCAAGGGAACTTAGAAATTGTATGGTGCATGTTGTATGTAGTGGTCCAAAAAGTATACCTTTCTGCTTTATTTTCAGGTAATTAAACCAGTGGTTCCATCTTTCTCCTTTTACAAAACAGAATAATTTTTTACTCTAAAAATAGTTTTTATAATAGAGTTCCAGGAGAGATGCTAAAAAGTACCAATTTGAAAGTGTTGAATGTTAATAACATTTTTTTTTTAAATGAATCAGTCCTCTCTTGAGAGCCAAAATATTTACGGGTTGTTGTTGCCCTGTAACACACCTGTGGAACATGTGCTTTAAATTTACTTCACTCATGTGCATAGGCCTTTTTTGGGAGGGGCTGGGGGGACCAGAACTCAAATCAGGACCTTGCACTTGCTGAGCAGGAGCTGCACCACCGAGCTGTATCTCAGGTGCTTAAGCCTCTTGATCTCTACTGCTGATTATCATGTGTATATGCCATCTGCATTTTCGTTGTCCATATCTATCTTACCATTGCTTATATATACAAAAATAGAGAATTTTTTCACTGAATTCCCTCTTGATCTTTATTTACTTAATGGGGTAGGAATACCAGCCATTATAGGGCCTCAGGAATGCTGTCAGTTTTCTTCAGCATTGGTAATCTATGTAATCCATTTTTTTTCTGTGTGCTATTTACATACCATTTCTCATTTCCCTTCATTTCAGGGTGTCATTCATTTTTCTAAATTTATTTTAAAGAGAAATTTTTTAACATTTCTACAAATTAAAAACAAGTATCATTTACCAAAAATAGAAGGAATCATAAAAATAAATGCAGTGAAATTGACTTGTTACAGAAGTGTAAAAATTTAAAAACACCAAAATGAAACTTTTTTCTTCTATCAGAAGAATTTAAAGATACAGAAAAAGAAAACTGTCTTCAGTACCATTTAATGTCCCTGTAGTTAACACACTTTAGGGAAAGAAACACTGCTATATATCCTGGCAGAGAAGTGAATCAGTCATTGAATTTTGTTTGCAGTAAACATGACAGCTAGGCCTAGCTGTATTTGTAGTGTGTATGCCTGTGTGCTTTTCCTGTTGTCTCTTATAATAAGTGATCCTTATTATGTGTATTTGCTCTTCAGGATATTTTACTCATCAACCTCATTATAGAACACATGATATGTGATACAGATCCTGAACTTGGAGGGGCAGTCCAACTTATGGGCCTGCTTCGAACTTTAGTTGACCCAGAGAACATGCTAGCCACTGCCAATGTAAGCCCTGGTATTTTTCCTCCTCGTTAGAGATTGTACATTGTTTATTGCTGGTTGGAACCAGTGCAGTTAAAGTTTACGGAAGTGTTTTTGACCTTTTAGAAAACAGAGAAGACTGAATTTCTGGGTTTCTTCTATAAGCACTGTATGCATGTTCTTACTGCTCCCTTACTAGCAAATACAACAGAAGACAAACCTAGTAAAGGTAAGACAATTTGCTTTCTATTCTTGAATAGAAATCAAAAATTATTATTAAGGGGCTGGGGATTTAGCTTAGACCATAAGCGCCTGCCTTGCAAGTGCGTGGTCGTGAGTTCAATCCCCGATACCAATTTTAAAAAGTTAAAAAAAATTGATATTAAATCATAGTCTTCATTGGAGTAAGCTGCACATTCTGGAAAAAGAGTAATAGTCCTTAAAAGTTTGCTGAGCAAGCTGGGAATAGTGGTGCACACTTCACAATCCCAGCATTCGGGGAGGCTGAGACAGGAAAATTGTTGCAAGTTTGAGACCAGCCTGTGCTAGAGTGAGGTTAAGGTCAGCCTGAACTGCATAGCAAGACCCTGTCAAAAACAAGTCTAAATAAATAAAGTTTGCCAGGCATGTGGTACACACCTGACCCAGTAACTTGAGAGACTGAAGCTGAAGGATTGCTGAGTTCAAGGCCAACCTGAGGGATATAACTACTGGCACAGTGACTGCCTGGTAAATGTGAGGTCCTGAGTTTCATTCTTGGTACCAAAAATATAATAATAATAATAATAATACTTGTATTTAAGAGTGAGGCTGTAACTCAGAGCATTTGCTTGGCATGAATGAGGCCGTGAATTTGATCCCCAACACTAAAAAGTATGCGTGCTTGTGCGTGTGCGTGAGACAGATTTTGTTTAGTCTGCATCAACTTGGATGAAATAAAATAACTGGACAGTTTGAGTTGCTTATACTCCAGAGGTATACACAGAATTAAACTTGTGCTCAGTACTGAGCTGGTGTTATTTTACTCCTAAAGGCCTTAGCTTGCTTGTTTGTGTGTTTTGTAGTAGTAGTTGTTTTAGGGGAATAGGTGAATTCTTTATGGAAGCCCTTGGAATAAATACATTATTTTGCCATATGAATTCTGAGCATGGTATATTTAACTTAATATACCACTTCTACCTCTTACAGAAAATACATACTAACTTTATTTTGCTTTTGTTAGGTTTGTTTGGTTTTTTGGATCTAGGGATTGAACCAGAACCTTTGCCCAGCCATACCTTTGTTATTTTTACTTTCTTTCTTTCTTTCTTTCTTTATTTATTTATTTTGGTCTTTTTCCTTTTTATCGGTACCGGGGATCGAACTCACGACTGCCTGCTTGCATTTGCAAGGCAGGCACTTATGCCGCTGAGCTAAATCCCCAGCCCCCTATTTTGACTTTTTTGTGTGACTACAGAATCAAGTCTTTGAAATGGGGGATTTGTTTTCCTATGTGTTTTATTCATGTTGGGTGAAACTTGAGATCTTTTTCTGAACTCTCATGTTTGGTTCATCCAGCATTTATTAAGAACTTGTATGGAAAGTCTTGTGCTTTAATCGATGGGGGCTGAAAAGGAGAAATGAAAAAAAAGCCAGTCCAGTAGTTCATCTAAAGTCTAAGCTACTAGGGAGGCTGAGGTAAGAAGATCATAAATTTGAGGTCAGCATCAGCAACTTAACAGAACCTGTCTCAAAATAAAATTTTTAGCAAGGACTGGGAATGTAGCTCAATGGTAGAACACCTGTCTGGTATGTATGAGGTCTGAGTTCAATCTCCTGAACATCTGTCTAAAGAAAGTAGTAAATAAAATACTTTCAGGGGCCTGGTGGCTGATATATAATAAAGGTAACTCAGTATTTAACAATTCAGTGTGGATTCCTTGCCTGCAGTAAGGAAGCACACACTGAACAGAACAGAGATTATGAGAATGAGGAGAGGGCAACTGAACTAGAGATGGGGGGGGGGTCCTGCAGACGCTCCTGTGTGTGTACACATGTCAACTTGACACAACTTCATTTTGTTTATTTTAGATGACTTTCAGACTGCGCAGTTACTGGCCCTTGTGTTGGAATTGTTAACATTTTGTGTGGAGCACCATACCTACCACATAAAGAATTACATTATCAACAAGGATATCCTCCGGAGAGTGCTGGTTCTTATGGCCTCGAAGCATGCTTTCTTGGCATTGTGTAAGTGTTGCTTCTGATGCAGTTGTTTTTTATTATCTTTATATGTTATCAAGTTTTTGATATTTTTAGATGTTACTGCCTGAGAAGAAAAACTAATTATAGGTCAGGAAAGTAGGCCCCATGCTGATTGTATAGGTTTGCCACTTTGAGCAGCTGATTTCCATCTCATTGATGTATAGCAAGGGGTTTAGTATCTAGAAATTATATAAAAGGCCTCAGTTATATTAGAACAGGGTGGGGAGGGCAGGGAGCAAGCTACAGCTTCAGCCACATCTAGCTCACCATGAATTCAAGGCCAGCCTAAACTACATAGTAAGACCCTGTTTCAAACCCCCCCACTGCCTCCGCCCAAAAAACAACAGTGTGCTACCGAGATCACACACGGTTCAGAATGTGTGTCCTGTGGATCATACTGAAAAGTTTGCAGACTCTTGGGCAAGAAACTTGTGTGGGGCCAGTAGTGGTGCTGGGGTTGAACCCAGGACCTTCAGCAAAATAAACACACACTCTACCGCTGAATTTTACATCACTAGCCCTGGAAAAAGTTTTTTAAAACAAGATTTTTCCTAGTTTAAGGTTTTTTTTTTTTTTTTTAAAGTAGACTTTTACAGTGTTGTTAAAATGTAGTTTTTGCAATGAAACTTCCTTCTGAATTGAAAATAGATTAACTCAGTGTGTTCTTGGTCGTGCAGCTCCCAGACTTTCAGCTAATGAGTCTCCATGTTTAAGTTGTCCTTGTTGGAAAGTTGTCAGGGCAAGTCTAGGGGTATCCCAGAATCTCTGTTACAAGTATCTGTTGGTAATCAGCTTTTGCCTTTTGGTTTTTCAAGGTAAGTTGGGGTGTTTGGTTGTTTCTACAAGGAATCACTAAAGGTTCATTAAAAATTTAACTTTTTTTTTTTTTTTTTTTTTTTTTTGGTCTTTTGGAGACAGTTTTGCCGTGCAGTTTAGGTTGACCTTCAGCTCACTTTGTAGTCTAGGCTGGTCTCAAACTCCAGAAGGATCCTCATGCCTCAGCCTCCCTAATGCTGGGGCTACAGGCATGCACCACCGCGCCCAGTTTACCTTTTTTAACAGGGTGATATTTGTTATGTTCTTGACTTTGATTTTTCAGGCTAGCCTATCCACTGCATTATGTACTGGAGATACATTTTGTCAGAGCATACTTTCTGTTTTCCACCCTGTAGAGATATTCAGCTCACTCACTTTGTGCTGAATATCCAGGGTCTTTAATATTACTTTAGAATCATTCTCAGCCAAAAGTAGTAGGTAGCATCTGCAGGATTAATTCAAACTAAGGGCTGCTAAAAATACATTCATTATTTTAGTTCTGCCTTACCATTTTTTGTGTCTGTGAGCTCAGCACATAAAAAAGAACTTGTAAAATTGTAATCCTGCTGGGTGTGGTGACACATGCCTCTAATCTCAGTGCTGAGGCAGAAGACTCAGGTGGTTCAAGACCAGCCTACACAAAATATAGAGACCGTGTCTCAAAAAAAGACAATAATAAAATAAAATCATACTCATTTTCCTAGTGTATCTATCACAAAAGAAGAGCTCCAAGACCAAGTTAGAGTTCATAATTCTGAATTGTTCTTTAGTGTCATTATAGAGGGTTTTGTTTAAGCATGGTATAGGGAGTTTGAGCCAGTGGTACTGAAAAACTGAATAAATGAGTAAGCTTAAACAATTCTATTTCAACAAGTAAATTAAAAACTACTGCTGTGTTTCATTGCTTCTAAGATGTGCGTTTTTGCACATTTATTAACTCTGAAACCTAGTGAGTCTTACGACATTTGATAGCTGTTTTTTAAATTTGTTCTCTTAGAAAAAATAAATCTTTTTGCAATCAGTGGCATCTTAGACTTTATTAAGAGGTTAAATTAAGATGATTGATTCTTATGCTCAGCTGTCATGGGAATCAACTCATATAAAAATCAAAGTGTAACTATATTAAGGTACACTTGGAAGCACAGTGAAAGTAAATTATGAAATTCCACGGTAGCGGCAATTTGGATTTGTCTTGGTAATGGTCACAGGAGAATGCCATGCTTGGTTGAATACACAGTTACAGACATTATGTGTACAGGTGTTCTGTGCCATTTTGCTGTAGGTAGGACACATGAGTCCAGTGGGAGAATGGCAGGACATGCAGCCAAAAAGGTGGTCTTCTGTGTGCTTTTTCACGTGTAGTGTTATGAAGAAAGTTTGTTGTAATCCAGTGAGAATTGTGAAGAGAATCGTTACACATAAATGAAAATTTGTATTGTCGGACAGTGTGCTAGCAAAGTCTTGGTTATATTTTATTGTTGTTCATACTTGATAAGCAGTCCGGTTACCAATAAACCTTTTTCGCAAATGGCTTTTTGGTGAGCCAGTCTTCCCAGGTTTGAGAAAAGATGTCAGTCATTAGGAACAAGGACTGATCCTACAGTATTTTTATCAAGGATTTCTAAGAACTGAATAAATTTTAGGAAAATGTAAGTTATTTGTGATTCTTCTGAGAAGAGTGTACATTGAAAAAATACCAGGTATAGCATTTTTAAAAGGAGAATGCTATAAATACTTAAATTTAGATGTGTATATGTGTAAGTTTATAATGAGCAATTAAATACACAGAGACTGAGGACTTCTTTGTGTGTTTTGCTTCTTAGTATACTTACCATATGTAAAGACAAGAAAGCAAATATGTAAGATGGTCCTCTGTAGAATGAGTCTTTATAGATGCTGGTTCAGTCAGTCACTTTGTTTAGCCTTTTCAGGATTCTTGGATCTTATATAGTAGTTATTTAAGCCTTAGCTTTTTTACATTGTCTGATCCTTTTATTTTGTTGATAGTAGTGGTGTTAGAGATACAGATATCTGTAATAGGAATGAAATTTTGAAAAGCTTTGTTGTACAGACTTTTATTTAACTATTGTTCGTTACATAAGAGGTGATTAACCACAGCAGTCTCCTGTTTTGCAAGATAAAATTTTAAAAGATTATTGAAATTGAGCACATGATATTCCTGGCATGTTCACAGTGGATATTAGCAATGTATGTGGATGCAAAATGCCCTTTACATTGACAGTGCCGTGGTTATGCCAATTTAGCCTATCCCCCAAGCTTCTCTCATCATCTTTGAATGACTTGACTTGATGGAACTCTGTTAAAATATTGAATGTAACTTTTCATTCTATCTACGTCAGCAGTTTTTGGGTAGGACTATCTCTGTGTGGCCTGACCTTAGTGAATTCCAGGAAGGCAGAGGTTTTTTTTTCACTAACCTAGGACTTGCATGCAGAGCAGCAGAAGGGTTGGTGAGTGTGTGTTTGGTAGGACACAAGTCTCCACAAAGCCTGAAAGTTGGAGTACCAATTCTTAGAACAGTAGCTCTTGCTCATTACTGAGAGCTTAAAATTTGACCTTTAGCTTCAGATCTAAGTATTTTTTATTCTACAAAGTGGAACTGTCACTAAGTTCTTCTGTCAGTTAACATTGAAAAAGAAAACAGTGGAATTACTGTTTTAGAAAATAAACCCTTGTTAGGCTTTTGACTTGAGAAAGATGCCTCTTAGTGTTTAAAATGTCTTCACCATGTTTATTTTAAAAAAGAAAAAAAATTCTAAAAAACAAAATAGTTTTATTCTATAAACTTACCCTGCCCAGAGTGTCTCTTTAGAAAGATACACTCTTAAATAAGTCGGATTGTTACGGCAGTTTATAATCAGTTGTACCTAATTGGGCATTCACTTGTGGACCTCTTTTCTGCCAACTAAAGAAAAATTGAGCTGCTTTACTCCTCTGCCTTCCCACCCAGAAACCGTGTCAGCATGGTTGCCTGGCTACCTGCTCATGAAGGACTTGATTAATAACAAATTGGCAGTTTAACGAGCCACTACCATGATCTCCAAAGAAACCATAATACAAACACAATATTTAATCTTGCCAACCGAAGACGATGTGACTGCATGAAGTGAGTATGCTTTTTTGAACTGTTTACAATAACTGGGGCATTAACTTACTGATAATTCCACGTAGGTAAATAGGGCTTCTTTAAAGTATAGCTCTCTGAGTATATTTGGATCTTGACGAATGGTGATTTAAGCAACTCCCCGTACCTCAAGATGCAAATATAACTTTTAATCCGTAAGTTAAAGCCTGATTAATTATAAAAAGGAAAAATAGGAAAAAATTAAAAAGCATACTCGCTACAGTAAGCCTAGAGGACTTCATTTTAAACCACATCTTCAAAATTTATTTCTAAACTATGGGAAGGCAAATTTTGGGTCATGCAGATTTTTGTGGGTTTATAGCATTTCTATAACCACATCCACAAATAAGCCAATGTAAGTTCATCAACTGTAATACAAAACAACAAAAGAGTGTCCAAAATTATTGAAGATTATCATACAGTGGATTGCCCTAATAAACACGCTGGTTTCTGTATTTGGTTTAAAAATGTTTATGACAGGATTTGTTCAGAATTTTTTCATCTTAAGTAGGATGAGGATGGATGATAGATTAATTCATTTGTCTTATCTCTTATTTAAGATGTGAATTAACTTCTTGAACATTAGTAAGTGGTTTATTTTTCAGAATTTTTCTGGCTTTTTAAGACTTGTGTTCTATGGTGACATACACTACTTTCAGAATGCACTTTCTGGTTACACGTTTAGAACCTTATCTTTAGGTTTGTATTTCTGGACGTCTTAACATACTGCTGTGTATGAAGAATTACTATTTGTAACCAGGTGTTATGGTTTTGGTAAGTCATGGAAGTGTGCTGTATGGTTTCAAACAACAATGCCTCTGTGTTTCAGGTGCCCTTCGTTTTAAGAGAAAAATTATTGGATTAAAAGATGAGTTTTATAACCGCTACATAATGAAAAGTTTTTTGTTTGAACCTGTAGTCAAAGCATTTCTCAACAATGGATCCCGCTACAATCTGATGAATTCTGCCATAATAGAAATGTTTGAATTTATTAGAGTGGTAGGTTCTATATTTTTTAATTAGAATTGTGGTCTTACCTGAGAAAATCAAATACGCTTTACCAATTCAAAATTATTGTATTCAAAGAAAATATCTTAAAGGCAAGGTTACCAAAAGTTTGTGAAAGATTATCTTTTCACAATCTTTGTAGTATAGTTTGAAAATTGACTTAACACTGCCATGGTAATGATTTTAAGAAAATGCAATTGACAGATAAACATGTAATCATTTTTCTTTCACATTTTAAAAGAGCAATTTCATAATTTTGATCCTTCGGTATAATGAACTGTGGATGCTAAGTGAGCAAAATTATCTCTGCCAATGCCCCTTTTTTAGAATTGTGGTAAATATATATTACAAAACTTGCTATTTTGGGCTTTTTAAATGTATAATCTAGTGAAATAAAAAAAAAAATACCTTCGTGTTGTTGTACAACTATTATCACTATCCACAGACTTTTCTGTGGCATTTTTAAAAATATACATGCCCTGGTCTGAGATGTAGCTCAGTGGTAGAGCACTTGCCTAGCATGTGACGGGTCCTGGGTTTGATCCTCAGCACCAAATAATACAGCAGCAGCACATGCCCAGACTTAGAGAATCAGAATCCCCTAGGGTGAGACCTATGCATTTACTGTGGAAAGACCAATGGGCAGTTCTAAGGTATACCAAAAATGGAGGTTGCTGAAGTGATCAGTGTATGTAGTTATTTTTGGTGAATTTTTATGAATTTTTTACACTAAAATCTTATCTTGCTGAAATAGTATTTTCATATCTCATTTCATTGACAATTCTTTTCTGTAGGAAGATATTAAATCATTAACTGCTCACGTAATTGAAAATTACTGGAAAGCACTAGAAGACGTAGATTATGTACAGACATTTAAGGGGTTAAAACTGAGATTCGAACAACAAAGAGAAAGGCAAGACAACCCCAAACTCGACAGGTAAATTGTCATGTATTTGAACCCGTTCTTCACTCAGCGATGTGTTGTGTGTTAGTGGCTCTTTGTGTATTTGGTCTTTGGCTTGGGAGGAAAGGAGAAATAGGTCAGTAGCAGGCAGCAGCTGTATTGCCCTGCAGGTCTAGGTGAATGCTAGCATGATCCGCAGCCACCAGGACGCACAGAAGCAGTGTGGCTCCAGGTGGATGTTCAAGGTTAACTCAGAATATTACAGTACTTGCTTTGAATTGCAGCTTAGTCTTTAAAATCTCATACGTGTTTCTAAATGCCCAGGTTTCATATTTGTGGTATATTTTCAGTCTGTAAACTTGTTAATTCCTTACTTGTTTGTTTCCCAGTACATGGAATTGAACTCAAAGCCTTTCCACTAGCTACATCTCCAGCCCTCTTTTCGTATATTTTTTTTGTGTGTGTGTGTGGGGGGGAGACAGGATCTTATTAAGTTGACTGGTCTGAGCTCAAATTTGAGATCGTCCTGCCTCAGTGTTCTAGAGCAGTGGGATTACAGGAATGGACCATCACCCCTGGCTTATTAATTCCTAATGTTAAACAAGTTTAATAACCAATTTGAAACAGTACAATTTATGACATGAAGTTTATCCACTGTGTGGGGGAGCTGTCTTTTAATTCCATGTTTGAAAAGGCTGTTTTTCACCCACATCTGCATGTGTACATCAGTTTATCCCCACTAGCTTTTAAGACAGGGTCTGCTTCTGGAGGACAACTCACAGGTGTCTTTAACCAAAGTGAAGGTGTTTACTCCCCTTTTTCCACAGCATGCGCTCCATCTTAAGGAATCATAGATACCGAAGAGACGCCAGAACCCTGGAAGATGAAGAAGAGATGTGGTTTAACACGGATGAGGATGATATGGAAGACGGGGAACCTGTGGTGTCTCCACCCGACAAAACTAAAAATGATGATGATATTATGGATCCGATAAGTAAATTCATGGAAAGGAAGAAATGTAGGTTGAAAACATGAGGTGTTTTGCTCTGGGTTTTTTTGGTTTTTGACAAAATTTTGATCTGCTTGGTGTGCGGGCGGTGTGAAGCCTTACCCTGCAGGGCCCGCCAGGAAGGCTGCGCTGAGCTTTTCTGGGCTGGGTAAATGAGGACACGGTTGGGTGCTAAGTTTGATGCAGAAGGTTTTTCCTTCTCCAATGTGAAGTTCAGTGGACAGTGGCATCTGAACTGAAGGCGTACGCCACCACAGAGGACTAACTAAACTGGTTAATCATGCTTTCTGGTTATATTTTTGTGTCACCTTATTGAGATTTTTTTTTTAAATGAATGAGTATGCATAGCAACTGCTGACCATATTCTCATTTTTAGTGAAAGAAAGTGAAGAAAAGGAGGTGCTTTTGAAAACAAATCTTTCTGGACGGCAGAGCCCAAGTTTCAAGCTTTCTCTGTCCAGTGGGACAAAGACTAACCTCACCAGCCAGTCACCTGCAGCAAACCTGCCTGGTTCTCCAGGGTCCCCAGGGTCCCCAGGGTCTCCAGGCTCTCCTGGATCCGTCCCTAAGAGCACATCTCAGACGGCAGCTATTACCACAAAGGTATGCCCTGGCTCTGGGACTCCCACGGGCCCTCTCAACAGTCACTGTTACAGCTGAGGCTACATCAGCCACCTCTTCTGAAACTGGTCACATTCATGAGGCAGAAGATGTGTTACCACTGCCACCCAAACTATCACTGAGAAGTTTCTGGAAGTTTCTTAGGGCTGAGAACAACGTCTGTTTTTTTTTTTTTTTTTTTTTTTTTTTTTAAATAGGGCCTTGCTGTGTAGTTGGGGCTGGTCACAAAACTATGTAGTCCAGGGTGACAACTCTGTATTACCACTAACATTTTACACAAGAAAATTTGAGCACTAAAAAGTTAGAAAAGATATCTCAGAATAAAACTAGTTCTTTAAGCTATCATTTTATACAACATCTTTTTTGTCCCCCCATTCCCCCCCCCTTTTTTTTGTCTTTTGAGATGTAAGATACATTAATTATTAGGCTACAAATTAACCTGTCATCTAGGATTTTTGGTTTGTTTGTTTTTGGTGCTGGGGATTGAACTCAAGACCGAGTGTTTGCAAGGCAGGCCCTTACGCTGCTGAGCTAAATTCCCAGCCCTAGGAATCTTTAAGCCAGATGCAGTGCCCATCCAGTATGTTTCCTTCTGAAGGCCAGGAGTGAGCCTGAGGCTCACTGAAGGGAGGTGCAGGCTGAGCATGCGCTCAGCAAGGAACCTCAAGTCACATCAGCCACGGCACAAGCTGGCTGATCCTAGAAAAGGAGAGGGACCAAAAGGAACCTGGATGAGAGAATGAGGAGGAAAAAGAGTAGATGACTTTTTGTCCTTGTTTGGGGCAGTATCCTCAGAAGTTTATATTCTGATACCATTTTAGACTTTACATTTTAAAATATATTAATGCAGTAATGTTTCTATCTCTTGGATGATTTGCTAGTATCATAAGGTACATTTTTTATTTTAACTTTAGATAATTAAAAGATTTCCCTTACTACCTGTTTATTTGAAAAATCTAGGAAATACGTAAAAATAATTTCAGTTGTACATAATTCCCCCAACCGAGAAATAACCACAGTTACCGAGGTTCAGCTAAAAGGTCTTCTCCGGCCTTGAACCAGAAGTATTTTTAAATGTAGTATTTTGTTTCCAGATCTTTAAATAACCCTTCTTTCTGAACAGGGAGGCCTCGTAGGTCTGGTAGATTATCCCGATGATGATGAAGATGATGATGAGGATGAAGACAAGGAAGAGACGCCGCCATTGTCAAAGAAAGCAAAATTTGAGTCATAATAATGGCAACTGCCTGGGATCAGTACCTGTTGACAAAACTGGTTCTCTACCCCTCCCCCTACAAAATCCACAGCGGAGCGCAGTGTCCCTCGTGAAGGACTGACACACTCAGCCTCGCACACTTGGCTTCTGCTCATCAAGTGCCAATTCGGTGGAGCCGGAGGAGGGGACACCATGCGTTTAGGGGAAGGACTGAAGCCTCTGAGCTCTCCAGCCTGGACCACACATTGCCCTTTTCTCAGGGAAGGAAATGGAAACAAAAAGCCAACAGGGCAGGGATTTTGTAAGTGGAACTCTGGATTGACTGGTCAGTTGCTATAATCAGAACGTGCTTTCTTGGACTCTGAGATTCAAAAGGATGGGCCTTTCCGCCCCAGTTCTTCACTAGTTAAGAATGCCAGCAGTTTCTTTGTATAAAGAGACCTGCCTTTAAAACCGTACATTCTGAACATTTTAGTCAAGCGACAGCAGATTTGGAAAAACCTCTGTGGGGGAGGGGCAAATATAAAGTTTCCTCTTTTTTATCTGTTCCCTTTGCCCTTCAAACTGCAGATTTTTTTTTTAAGGTGGGGATTTGTCCCTGCTTGATTAAAGATTGAGTGGAATTCTAGATGTGGTCATTTGTGTCATAATTTTTTTGTTTGTTTGATTTTGTTTTTGATTATTTTTTTCCTCCCCTGAGTGTATGCTTAGTTGTTGAATATTATATATATTTGGGACCATTAAAACATTTTTTGATGTAATATAACCTAACGTTGTGCTGGTACCTGTTTTACCATGTGTAATTTTTGTTCTACATCACAGTTCTTAATTTGTTTAGAGTTTTATGAAAGATGGTATAGTTTTTATTGACAAGAGCAAAGTAATCTTACAACTATGTGCATACAAAAGCAATACTATTTTGTGACTAAATATTTTATATTAAAATTTACATCAGCAACTGTCTTGAGATTTCAGGGAAATAGAGTAGAGTTTAAAACTTCAACAGTTTTGTTAAACCTAGAAACATGAAATTAGTATTCCAAAGAGATTCTGAAATTTCATATCTTGGGAAAATGACGGTACATTAAATCAAAATTGAGGATGGATGATTTAAAAGTAACATATTTGACTTTTGAATAATAAAAGAAAAGTAAAGAGTAAGAGAAATTGTTTTAGTTGTATGTTTCTTTTCTTTTTTTTAACTACTTCCTTTGGAATACCAGTTTGAATCGTAAGTGATGGTTCCTGAATATAAATGCATGAGAACCATCAGATGCTGCCTTATTAAAACAGTATTTCGGAGTCTGGGGTGTGTAGCTGAATGCTAGAACACGTACCTAGCATGAGCTGGCCCTGGGCTCAGTCCTCAGATCTACAGCAGAACAATACAGGATCTTAGGGCCTGGAGTTACACTTAGTTGTAAAGCACCTGCCACTTGCCCAACATCCATGTAGCCCTGGGTTCCATCCCAACACTGCAGAAAAAAGTAAAAGCCAACACCAAAAACATTTTCAAATGGTTTCTTTCTGTTATGTTCAATGTAATAAAAAAAAATTTTCAAGAAAATGGAAACATCTGTCAGTTCACATACCTTTTTAAATGAATTTAGAAGTTACAAATATATTTGCAAATATGAATTAATCTGGGAAAGGTTACAATTTTAAGAATATACTCAAGTATCTTGGAAAGTTACTGTTTGCCTCTAAGCTTCTTTTCATATTTCTCAGTAAATAACAAACTTGGAGAGCATAATTAACTACAAGAATACATTTATTTCACTGGACTATACAATCGAGTCACAGAGTTCCGGCTATTGAAAGTAAAGCAAGGCGTGGTGACTCCTGCCTATAATCTCAGCACTCAGGTGGCTACGGCAGGAGGATCATCTCAAATCTGAGGCCAGCCTGAATTATGGTGAGACCCTGTCTCAGAACAACATAAAAATTGCTGTTAATCAACTTATCTTAGCAATAAGGGAAAAATTAGATGTGAGTTGTTACCTAGGAAGTTCCATGTCAAGTAATGATTGTGTCTTCAATATACAATTTAAAGCGATCTTTCTGACTGGGTCTTGAAATACTTGCTTTGCTGTTCTGAGGCTTCTGGGAATGGAGCCTGGAGTGTCTTAGGCCTGTAACCAGGCACTCAGGAGGCTGAGGCCTGAGAGTTGCTGCACGTTCAGGCCAGCCTGGACTACAATAGCAGGACCCTGTCTCCAAAGCACATAAAAATATTTTAAATGGATAAAGATACATCATTTGCCTTCAAAGAAGAGGCTATTGGCCTTTCACAGTCAAGAGAAGACTTCACTGGAGTCTTTGCATTTCCTTAGTTATTAGTGGTTTTTTTCAAGTTATGATTTCTTTTAAATAGAAACTTGACACAAGCATTGGCTAGTGTTGTGAGAAAAGTCTGAAGTAGGTTGTCATCTCATGAAGGGATACTGTAGTCAGGAAACGTAGGCCTTGAGTCAGCACGGTCCTTAGGACTCGGCCACACTCCACCCCTTGTGAGAACTGAGCTCTGGGCCTTCCTCCCAGCCCAGAAGCTCCTGAATCATAAGGACGGTTTTGGTAACTGATGTAAATGTACTTACAAACTGTTCTATTTGCTGATACCAATTGGTTTCTTTGCGCATTTTGCAGTACTTGAAATGAAGGACGTGGGAGAACAGTTGCCTACTATGTCAAAGCCCTGGGTTCGGTCCCCTACACTGTTCCCCCCTCCAAAAAAATCTTAAGTGATTACCTAGTAGTTTCTGAAAAATAGTTACTGCGGAAAACACTGACATCCTCTCCTCCAAAAACAGCTGGCCTGGCACTTTTTAATAGAATGATGTTTTTTCCCTGCCAGTTGTACTTAGATCCTACATGGGATTTTTCCCAGAACTCCAATTTGCAATTCAGTGTTAGTGAATTTGGAAATGAGGAGGCATAGAGTAGGGAGAAACATTTCTTACTACTATTTTTATCCTATTTAGGCAGTAGACTTTGCAAGGCTTACAAGATTAGAACAGTAGCATTTGCAACTGGAAGAGTTTAGGTAATTCTAGGATTGTGTGTGTGTGTGTGTGTTTTGGAGATAGGGTCTCGCTATGCAGCTCAGGCTGGGTTTGAGCTCACTTTGTACTCCAGGCTGGGCTTGAAATTGCTATAATCTTCCTCCCTCGACCTCCCAAGGGTTGGATCAGAGGTGTGTACCACCACGCCCAGCTTCTAGAATTTACTATGAAGAAAGTAATGTCAATCTTCACCAGGTGTGGGTGGACACATACCTGTGATCTCAGCACTCTGGGAAACTGTCACTTTAGTGACTTCAAGATCTTCACAAATAAAAAGGTTCTGTGATGTAGCAAGGGCCCTAGGTTCAATCCCCAGTACCAGAAGAATTTAGGACCTTCAAATTTTGTTTTGTTTTGAGATAGGGTCTTGCTTTCTAGTTCTGGCTCGCCTTGAGCCTCTGGCTTTCTTCAAAACACTTTTATTTCCAGGTTACATTAACTTGTATTGCTTGATCTATTTCAAATTAACGAAGTTTTTACTGGATGAATGGATGTGTTAAGCCCACTGGGCCACGCAGCATCAGTGCTGCTCAGTTGTTTCGATGGTGAATCACTTTGATCTTCCATGGGCTTATGCTCTTATCTTGACTCTAGACCTGAAAGAAAACTGACCAAGAGCCTCACTTCAGATCACTGAATGTCTTTTCAACTACTGCTCAGATGTCTCCTTTCTTAAAATACCCGTGGTTGGAGTCAACTTCCTGACCTTTTCCATCTCCCAGATAAATTCTTCCCTGGATTCAGAGGAAAGACTGGTTCCTTAATCATGATGTTGGATGGATTTTTGTTTGCTTATTTAGTTTCCTTTATACCCCAACTGCTTTATATCCACCATTACAAAGAAACTGCTGTTTCCTGCAAACTCAACGGAACCTTGTCCCCTCGCTGTATTATTTAATGCTTAGGCAGCACTGGCCACCAACCACCATCTTGCTGCCTTTCCTTTGGTTTCTGTGATAGCTTTGTACTTTACCATGCCTGATCTGTCTCTTGACCCCTGTATTCTTTACCTCTAAAATATAGCTTTTTGTTAGGGTTTCAGCATGGGCGTCTTTCCAAGCTCCTGCCAGGCTGTATTTCCTGCATGTCCATGACACAATTATGCTGTGCTTCAAAGCCTTCAGACTGTGCCCCTCTTGAGTGCTTTTAACACGGTCTTGTGTGCTAATGAGTTCATAATCATCTCTGAACAGTCAGAAGGGGTCCCCAGCAGCCTACTTCTCACTGACTGGTTTGGTAAATGTGCAGTCAGATGGGAAAGTCTTGCTGATCTGTGCAGCCCAGAGTTCACCTCATGCTTCTCCATAAGATTCCCTTCTTTGTGGACGAATAGAGAGGAGCCACGTAGCACCTCTGAGCCCGAGTAGATCTATAAAATGAAAACACCCTCTTGTTTATATTAGCGTGAGTAATGTCAGCAATTCATAAAATCACATTTGTCTTAGCTTTCCAAGTCTGTCCGTCCCTGAGTGCAAACGGCTCTCCTTACCTGTCCTAGGCATGAGCTGTAGATCCAATAAACGCTCTTCCACAAGAGTGATAAATTTTCTTCTTTCTGGAAGAACACTCATTTTAAAGAAAACTAATGAAATCCCTAGAAAATTGCACCTTATTCTAGCACTAGATACTTTGTTTCCTACAGTAATATGCTTCTCCTTTGTTCTATTCTGTGGTTTGGGATAAGGTCTTGCTATGATAGCTAAGGTGGCCTCATACCCATAAGCTTAAGGATCCTCCTGCCTCAGCCTCTTACGTGGCTGGAACTATAGGTGTATACCACAATTGCCCAGCTTCTGCTAATCTTACTACAGAGAGAAGCATATAAATTTAACCCCTCTAGGACCTCACACATGCTAGCGATCTTGTACAGAACTTATATCCCTAACCCTTTTTTATGTTTTTTTCATTAAGCTTATTAGTACATTTTAAGTATTCATAATAATCACATTCATCACAGGGAGTTTGTATCTGAATATGGTATATCCTGATTCCCCATCCCCCTGCCTTCCCTTCAACCCCTCTTACCTCCTGATTTACAAAAGCTTCGTTTCCACTGTTTCATTCTTTCCTTGTTTTTTCTTAACCCTTCTTTTTCCCACTTCCCCTCTGTCATTCCCATTCCAATTTGAACATTCTCTTTCTGTTTCACAAGATCCATTATACATTTTGGTCCTTATTTACACTTTTGGTTCCTCACACCCGGAAGCCAATGTGGTATTTACAGAAGTATGTCCAAGTTATTTCACTTAAGAGTATGTTCTCAAGGTATATCCATTTACCTAGTAATGCCTTAAGATTATCCTTCTTTATGACTGTATAGTATTCCATATATTTTATTTAAAAGGCAAAACAAAACAGTATAAGGGTACAAGTAATACAGAATTACAAAAAAACGGTAAAACATCACTAGTTAATAGATTACATATTGTCATCTTAGAAATAGTTGTTCAAGTTACAGGATTAAAGTATACAAAGTGGACATTCAAACAGTGAGACTGCAAACAGTTGTGTTTAATGATTCAACAAACACTCAGTAATCTGGTCATCTATCTTAACACACCTAAACACACTTGCAGTTGTACCCTTTAGAGCACTTTTTTCCCACTCTTTTTTACAACAAAATTTACACATTTGGGGTTTTTTTACTCTCATAGATCTTATTACTTTTTTTGAAAGAATAAAACCAAATATGACACAACAAAGC